ATTCTGCACATTTCTTATACTATCTACATACATAAGAGTATAATTCATATGTATAATAGCAGTTAAAATAAGTGCTTCAACATAGTTAACATTTCAGGAAAGCAATATATTAGACGTTAAGTACATTGTCAGGCTTAATATTTATCTGTAGATAGATACCCCCAACGCTTTTTTCTTATTTAAAAGAAGACCTTAATCTAAAGTATTATTTAATGTTTAAATAAAGGTTAACTCGTTTTTCTGTTTTGCACATCCTCATATTAATATCTTTGTACTTCCTGCACTAAACTGTTTTATTGTAGTGATCACTTACAGTATCTTCTTTATTTTTTTGTTCTATAGTTCTATCATTGACCTTCTACTTTCCCCCTATGAAAGTATGTACTCTTAATATTTTTTTCATCAAATATAACACATAAAAACAATAATTCAATAATGTGCTTTAACCACTAGGCGGTGCACACAAGGTACACACAGCCATAATAACTTTGTATTGTTAGTGTAGGACACTTATGTATGTACAACATCTGAAGATGTGTAGTTTATTCATGCTTTCACATAATTTTACAGCATATTGCTATACTATTTCAGACTGATTATTGACATTTTTATATTCAAAGAAAATCAGTAATATCTTTAAAAATAAAAGTCCTTTTATATCAGCTGTGCACCGTTATGGTGTAAATACAACCTATCTATGAATTAGATCAAATGTAAAAGTCAGCCAAATTAGTGTTGATACTGCAAGGAGACGTATTGTGTGAAGAGAAATTAAAGATGTTGTTTAATTGTTGATATATTTATGATCCACGTCAAGTATTCAGTTTCGGCGGCATTTCTTCCAGTTTTTCCAAAGATCTTCTCATCAGGGCTCTATAAATAAAGAACTACGGCAGATCTGTAATATGTAATGCAGCCGAACCGTGTATTACAATGCCGTTATGTGATGACTTCCAAAGAGAAAAGCAAGAACACTCGGAATTAAGTATTATTTTATTCTTTTAAAATGTTTTCCGGATTTCATATAATATAAACACCAAATCCCAGCATGCATTGCGGCTAAAACATCCAATCAGCAAGCTTAAACCGTAGCTGAGGATCTTGGGTAATCGCTCGAAATGCCTACGTCTGTTTCCGGTTATTTTTATTTTGAAATTCAGTTCCTGACGGACGCCAAAAAAGCCCGAGATTATGGAATTAAACAAATAAATAAAAACAAGGATAATTGTGTGTTATTGGTGAGTAAATAACAGTGTGTTATTTAGAAAAGAATAACAAATTCGAAGGAAAAAAATATTTTAAAAAATACAGATTTCAGTATTCTGAGGCTCTGAGCCCCATTTAGTTTCCTCACTGACGACAACAAAAGTCCGACATTATACGATTTAAAATAAAAACAATAATCGTGGTTTGATATTGAGTAAGAACATGTTTTTATGAACCCCACAGCTTCCGGTCTTCTAAGACCCGAACAGATACAAATACGTGGTGCAGGCACGAGACATACTACCAATAGAAATACATTGCTTTTAAAATCGTTCTGTGTGACACGAAAAAAAGGGGAAAATCGTGTTGGTGAACACGAATCAATAGATTCAATGTCGTGACGATAACACGAAATGCCGTGAGATTGGGTTGTCATATGGTGTCCTTTTTCTCAACCAAGGCTGAACGAAGCGTATTTTAACTGGTAAATATGCAGTCTAGATCAAACACAAATCAAGATTCTATTACTGTACTGTTTATTTCTCGCCTTAAAACAGACAGACGCCATTTTGTGCTTAACCAGTTAAGCCCTGAGCCTGTTTTTCAGGTTTCAGGCTCGAAAATGCCACTAACACAACAAATGATATATCTTCACTTCTAAAAGGGGTAAATTAATAATTATTTTTCTCAAAGCAAGGTTACATCTGTGAGTTGGATGTAGAAGTGTCAGAATCAATATAGATGTTTTTATTTTAAAGTAAATTCAGATGGAACATAGTAAAAACATGTAAATTCTAATGTCCACCTAAAAAAAACCTTTACTTATAGTGAAAACTAACCTTGCATGATGGGTTAGTAGACTAAAAGCTTTAGGAATCCAAACTATAACATATAATAAGTACCCTGTATCAAGATTGATGCAAAACAAGTGAAATTTGACCTTTTTAGAGAGATTTAGAAAAATAAAGTCCAAGCGGACTCACCTCTGGGTAATTTGGGAACCATCGGTTCCATTTGAACTTTTTCACTGTAAAAATCATTTTATTACTTTGAATTATCACTATAGGTATTCATTCCATCCAAATACAACTGTTGTGAAAAAAATAAAATAAAACATAGGCTTACTCTTACAGTGAGCCTCTGAATTAGCCCCGAGCGAAAAATGCTAACCTATTACTGCACCGAAAATCACTCCTCGCTCCCTTATTACTTATCCTAGCTGCACATCCAACACATTGTTTATGATCGCAAGGAGACACAGAATCTAACGGTGCCCACCTGAACAGCCCAACACTGAAAGATACAAACTCGCGACGTTATCAACAAAAACGTACATCAAAACAAATGGCGCTAGCGCTAATGCGCTAGGCTAACAATGACTTACCTTCCTCTTTGTCTGGTCTAAACTGGTCTTCAATGGCATTAAAACGATAAAAACGATGATGTAGTTAATCCATAGATTAATATCCAATGGGGCTGTGTCCCCTTTGAAATGTTCTGATAATCTATAAGCAATAAAACTGCAATTCCGTTATCTGCTGTCCGCTCTGTGCTCCGTGCGCTCTGTGTCCTGCTGCATTTCCTGCTTCGTTACGTTGTAAACAATAAATGAAGTCAGCTGCGTAATGTTGTTACGCTGGCTGGCATTCTTTATACTTTACGCAGGACCATATCTCTGGAACCCATTGGTCGATTCGTGTGATTTACACCTTTTTCTTAACCATCAGAACCAATAGAATCGATGGGCAGTTCCCAAATATACGTAAACATTACCATAGCGGACGTAATAGAGAATCAAACGAAGCATATCTGAAAGTGCAAGCCTGGACGGCAATACTTTATACCGAGTATATTGCCATAAATATGATGATTGATTATCAGTAAAACATTATACGTGACACAAAGACATTGGATTAACCTTGAGATGCGTTTTTATTCCGTTGAACACAACTTTTGATCACAAATCAAAAAAAGTAAGACGTAATTATTGTAATATTTTTGGAACCGGATGTTGTTTACTTTCTCTTTTCTGGCTGATAGCTCCAGGAATTCGAGATCTTACAGTGATGACATTACATGTGTGGAATCTGTGGAGTCTCAGATTTAAATCGTATATCTTGTTTGTGCAGTTAAGATAGTAATAAGGGCATTTCTACCGTGTGTTGTGTGTAAAAAAGCGTTAGCATTAGTTAGCATTTTTTCGCTCAATGCTAATTCAAAGGCTTGGTATTACTCTTGTGTTTTTTTTAGCTAACAATTGTTCTTATTGTCAGTTAGCGGAGTTTCTTACCTTTAAAAGGGTATGAAACATTAATAGTTTCATAAATGTTAAGAAGCCCTGAGACATGTGAGAAAAAAAAAACTGTGGGAGGGGTCCACTGGGGGGACCTTCGGGCTTAACTGGTTAACTCCAAGCGGAATCTTCCCAACTTGAATCAAACTTTAAAAATAGTCAGTGCTGATCAAACATTAACACACAGACACACACGATCTCAATGAATAAAGGACTGAGACTCATGTTTCTTTTTCCCACTCACTTTATTAATTGTTTTCGGTTCCATTGGTAATAAAATCATAATAAAAGTACAACAGCGTGCTCTGAGAAATTACATCTGATCTGATCCTCTTCCTGGGTAGTAATCCATATTTCAGTTCTCATTCACTTCCTGTTTCCCTTCTTTAACACTCAGGTAGCTTTCAGGCTGTGCACATTTAAAAACAGACAGTATATTAAAGAATACATTATATACCAGTGCACATAGTAAAATAACCCCTTTTGATTATTACCCCCACATCATAAAGAAGTTAAAGCTCAGAATAACTGGAGTCCTCAGGGATAATCTCAGATAATGTGCCGGCTCAGTTTCACAGCAACAAGACCTTCATTTCCACCGTCAGGAATCAGCTGAGAACACAGATAAACTGCTGAGTCATGGTTTATACACTGCTGCTTTTGTGTTAATCAAGGAACTCTTTAAACATTGTGTTAATCAAGGAACTCTTTAAACATTGTGTTAATCAAGAAACTCGTTAAACATTGTGTTAATCAAGGAACTCGTTAAACATTGTGTTAATCAAGGAACTCTTTAAACATTGTGTTAATCAAGGAACTCTTTAAACATTGTGTTAATTAAGGAACTCGTTAAACATTGTATTAATCAAGGAACTCTTTAAACATTGTGTTAATCAAGGAACTCTTTAAACATTTTGTTAATCAAGGAACGCGTTAAACATTGTGTTAATCAAGGAACTCGTTAAACATTGTGTTAATCAAGGAACTCGTTAAACATTGTGTTAATCAAGGAACTCGTTAAACATTGTGTTAATCAAGGAACTCGTTAAACATTGTGTTCATTAAGGAACTCGTTAATAATAATAATAATAATACATTCGATTTAAAAAGCACCTTTCATTGCTAACAGCAATCCCAATGTGCTACAGGAGGCATAATAAAAACAAACAAAATAAACAAAAGTATTAAACTTTAAACATTGTGTTAATTAAGGAACTCGTCAACCATTGTGTTAATTAAGGAACTCGTTAAACATTGTATTAATTAAGGAACTCGTTAAACATTGTGTTAATTAACGAACTCGTTAAAGATTGTGTTAATTAAGGAACTCGTTAAACATTGTATTAATTAAGGAACTCGTTAAACATTGTGTTAATCAAGGAACTCTTTAAACATTGTATTAATTAAGGAACTCTTTAAACATTCTATTAATTAAGGAACACTTTAAACATTGTATTAATTAAGGAACTCGTCAGGAAGAACAAATGAAGGTGCTGCCTACCATGCAAAGCTCTTCAGTTTCTCCATCCCATAGTGATGAAGGCCGCGTTTCCATTAGCGTATATAGCAGATCTGCGCCTCCTGCGACCTGCCCCCCCACAGCTCTGTACGCAGACAGGAAGTTAGTTTCACAGACAGGAAGTGAGCTTTACAGACAGGAAGTTAGCTCCACAGACAAGAAGTTAGCTTCACAGACAGGAAGTTAGCTTCGCAGACAGGAAGTTAATTTCACAGACAGGACGTTAGCTTCACAGACCGGAATAAGCTCACAGACAGGAAGTTAGCTTCACAGACAGTGTCACTACCCGATCTGCTCCTCTGCCCTATCTGCAGTGCGCATGTGCGAGATGGTCCGCCATATTTGAAAACTACATATGGCAACTCTAATAGGACACTTGACACAGTGGCGTTTGGCAAAGCAGAAAAATAACACAAAAAAACCCCGACAATATTAATCTGAACGAGAGAGATGAGTTATTTTATTGGGTTAAGTACATTGTCAGAATAAGTGAGACATTTATTTAACTTCTGTTAGACAGCTATCATACATACTGAAGAAATATTGACTGTGAATGTATGCAGTAGGGCAGGGCTGCAGATAGGGTAGTGACAGACAGGACATTAGCCTAACAGACAGGAAGTGAGCTTCACAGACAGGAAGTTAGCTTCACAGAGTTAGCTTCACAGACAGGAAGTGAGCTTCACAGACAGGAAGTTAGCTTCACAGAGTTAGCTTCACAGACAGGAAGTGAACTTTACAGACAGGAAGTTCGTTTCACAGACAGGAAGTTAGCTTCACAAACAGGAAGTGAGCTTCACAGACAGGAAGTTAGCTTAACAGACAGGAAGTTAGCTTCACAGACAGGAAGTGAGCTTCACAGTGTCACTACCCGATCTGCAGCTATGCCCGATCTGCAGTGCGCATGTGCGAGATGGTCCGCCATATTGGAAAACTCCGGACGGCAACCCAAGTAGGACACTTGATACAGTGGCTTTTGGCAAAGCTCAAAAAGAAAACTCGAGAGGGATGAGTTATTGTTAATACAACGTGACTTCACTATTATTTAACAACTCTTTTTATTGGGTTCTTTTATTTGGGGTTAAGTACATTGTCAGAATAAGTGAGAAATGAATTTAACTTATGTTAGACCGCTATCATACTGAATAAATATTTACTGTGAACTTCTAACAGAAGTTACACTGAACAAAAATATAAATGCAACACTTTTGTTTTTGTTCCCATTTTTCATGAGATGAACTCAAAGATCTAAAACATTTTCTATATACACAAAATAACCATTTCTCTCAAATATTGTTCACAAATCTGAAAAAATCTGTGATAGTGAGCACTTCTCCTTTGCCGAGATAATCCATCCCACCTCACAGGTGTGGCATATCAAGATGCTGATTAGACAGCATGATTATTGCACAGGTGTGCCTTAGGCTGGCCACAATAAAAGGCCACTCTGAAACGTGCAGTTTTGCTTTATTGATCCACTTTCTTAGTGTTAGTGAGGACTCACATTCATGACGTCCGCTGGCGCATCATAAACACGTCGGATAGTGAAAGTGCATTCGGATTCTCTAAAGTACCACAGTCTCTTCTCCTAAGTCCTTTTGAATTATCCTATCCACTATCCCTTAACCCTGTGACCTTTCACTCAGAGGTCAATGAATCGACGATAGGGTTAGACGTTAGGAGCTGGTTTTTGGATTATCCAACTGCAGCCCGGGTAGTGACACACAGACAGGAGGTTAGTTTAACAGACAGGAAGTTAGCTTAACAGACAGGAAGTTAGCTTAATAGACAGGAAGTTAGCTTTACAAACAGGAAGTTAGTTTAGCAGACAGGAAGTTATCTTAACAGACAGGAAGTTAGCTTTACAGACAGGAAGTTATCTTAACTTCACAAAGGTGTACTAGTACTCTGTGTTTACTATAACTTCACACAGGTGTAATAGTACTCGGTGTATTAGTACTCTGCGTGTTAGTACTCTGTGTACTCTGTGTGTTAGTACTCTGTATATTAGTACTATGTGTGTTAGTACTATGTGTGTTAGTACTCTGTGTATTAGTACTCTGTGTGTTAGTACTCTGTGTATTAGTACTCGGTGTACTCTGTGTGTTAGTACTCTGTGTATTTGTAATCTGTTTACTCTGTGTATTAGTACTCTGTGTACTCTGTGTATTAGCACTCTGTGTACTCTGTGTATTAGCACTCTGTGTACTCTGTGTATTAGCACTCTGTGTACTGTGTGTATTAGTACTCGGTGTGTACCGGAGTGCAGGCCTGGCCCTGTGTGGGGCACAGCTCCAGTTTGCAGTGCAGGTAGATTTCACTGCTTGCTCCAGAGAACTCGAACATGTTGAAGGAGAACACGCTGGACGTTCCCTGTCCGTTTCCCTGCATCTGCACCGTATCATCAGCAGGGTTCGGACATCTGCCCGGAGACAGGAAATACACACCATGAAGTCTCAGAGTTCATTCTGTTCCAACAGTCAGAGTTTATTCTGTTCTAACAGTCAGAGTTCATTCTGTTCCAACAGTCAGAGTTTATTATGTTCCAACAGTCAGAGTTTATTCTGTTCCAACAGTCAGAGTTTATTCTGTTCCAACAGTCAGAGTTTATTCTGTTCTAACAGTCAGAGTTTATTCTGTTCCAACAGTCAGAGTTTATTCTGTTCCAACAGTCAGAGTTTATTTTGTTCCAACAGTCAGAGTTTATTCTGTTCTAACAGTCAGAGTTTATTCTGTTCTAACAGTCAGAGTTTATTCTGTTCCAACAGTCAGAGTTTATTCTGTTCTAACAGTCAGAGTTTATTCTGTTCCAACAGTCAGAGTTTATTCTGTTCCAACAGTCAGAGTTTATTCTGTTCTAACAGTCAGAGTTTATTCTGTTCCAACAGTCAGAGTTTATTCTGTTCTAACAGTCAGAGTTTATTCTGTTCTAACAGTCAGAGTTTATTCTGTTCCAACAGTCAGAGTTTATTCTGTTCTAACAGTCAGAGTTTATTCTGTTCCAACAGTCAGAGTTTATTCTGTTCTAACAGTCAGAGTTATTCTGTTCCAACAGTCAGAGTTTATTCTGTTCCAACAGTCAGAGTTTATTCTGTTCCAACAGTCAGAGTTTATTCTGTTCTAACAGTCAGAGTTTATTCTGTTCTAACAGTCAGAGTTTATTCTGTTCCAACAGTCAGAGTTTATTCTGTTCCAACAGTCAGAGTTTATTCTGTTCCAACAGTCAGAGTTTATTCTGTTCTAACAGTCAGAGTTTATTCTGTTCCAACAGTCAGAGTTTATTCTGTTCTAACAGTCAGAGTTTATTCTGTTCCAACAGTCAGAGTTTATTCTGTTCTAACAGTCAGAGTTTATTCTGTTCTAACAGTCAGAGTTTATTCTGTTCCAACAGTCAGAGTTTATTCTGTTCCAACAGTCAGAGTTTATTCTGTTCTAACAGTCAGAGTTTATTCTGTTCCAACAGTCAGAGTTTATTCTGTTCTAACAGTCAGAGTTTATTCTGTTCCAACAGTCAGAGTTTATTCTGTTCTAACAGTCAGAGTTTATTCTGTTCCAACAGTCAGAGTTTATTCTGTTCTAACAGTCAGAGTTTATTCTGTTCCAACAGTCAGAGTTTATTCTGTTCCAACGTCAGAGTTTATTCTGTTCTAACAGTCAGAGTTTATTCTGTTCCAACAGTCAGAGTTTATTCTGTTCTAACAGTCAGAGTTTATTCTGTTCCAACAGTCAGAGTTTATTCTGTTCCAACAGTCAGAGTTTATTCTGTTCTAACAGTCAGAGTTTATTCTGTTCTAACATTCAGAGGTTATTTCCTCACCCTTTGATGATGAGGTCGTATCGCAAATTACTGTCAGGTGATGCCTGATTGGTTGCCCAGCAGGAGTCTGTCACCATGGCGACCATGTTGGCGTCCAGCCCCACCGCCTCCAGCTGCAGCCAGACCTTCTGGTTCAGCAGGATCTCCGTGTTCGGGACGACCGGCTGCAGGAGGCCGGCGTCGCTGAAGGAGCTCATCGTCAGAGTGTAGTTCCACTCTCCAGATACAAGCTGCTGCACCACAGAGCTACACACACACACACACACACACACACACACACACACACACACACACACACACACACACACACACAGTTTAGCAGTGTGACGCTCATAGCCGCGGGAAGTCATTTTGCTCAGGGGGTGCTGCCAAAAGTATGGATGGAGCCGCTTAAAAAAAAAAAAAAAAGGCGGTGCGGGCCCGGCTGTCAGCGATACGAGCCGCATAAATTGTTTGTTAAAGGCGAGACACAGCAGGCAAAAACATCGTTTTTCATGCACTGGTCAATTTTGAGATGTTGTGCTATTTTGATTCCATAAAATGTTTTCTTTCATACTTTTGGAAGGAAAACGTACAAAATACACATTTAAGTGTTTATTTTACTATAGTTTGTCTATTTGCGTCTGTAGATTTCTCCTACATTCACCAAAAGTTAGCATTCTAACGTAACATAAAGTACCGCGACCGCTGTGTGCACCATGTCAACAGAGATATCGCTGGAAAGCTGTGTCTCTCCTGCACAATCTCATCGGATCCAAATATGGTCATTTCCTTTGTATCAGAAACCAATCGTGAAAGCACAAAAGGGTCTTAAACCAATAAACGAAATCTCATTGGCTGGTGTCAATTTCTGACAACGTGATTCGTTCAGATGCGTCACGTGGTGTGCTAAAACACCTCCTGGTTAGCTTTCCGCTAGAAATGTAAATCTCAAAATGGCAAAAAAACAGCGAAAAAAACGTTCACAGAGAAGACGACAACAATTGTCACTTGCACGAAGCAAGGTTATACAAAAAACAAATGACCCCGAACATGACATAGCTTCACGGAGTGCGTCGATGCGCAAGCTGTCATCCAAAGAACAGGAGGGTTTAGCTAGCGCCTCACTGCAATCTTTAAAGGTCGTTTTCTCAAAATGAGTTTTTTCTCCTACTCTGAGTCCGAAATGTCAACTTCAGTAGCACGTACATACACCAAACCTTCCAGTTATATTCCTATCAATATTATGAAGGCTTTTACAGAAGGGTTTGTTCATATATCATTCATAGCCTGAATTATACAACATTATATACCTAAAAACATGGCGAAAATGGATATTTTAGGGCTGTTGACAGTATTTTCTGATTAATGGAGTGATACAAAGAGATATCCAAAATCCCTTCTGTAAAAGCCTTAAATGCTAATATGACTACAAAATGAAACGATAATTTTGAACCTGGCTTTATGCAAAGTTCAGATTTCGGTTCCTGAAATGTGTTAAAATATGTGCATATTTAATGAGATAATGGATAATTTGCATATTCAGAAAACTTGTAATATAAGAAACAATTGCCTTATTGTAGGTAATTAAATGGAGAAATTACCCTATTCACCTGGGGTGTCTCGCCTTAACTTTAATAAACCATTATAGACCTTAGCAACAGCTGCACATGCCCACATGCTAACTATGGGTCTTACGAACCTACATAACATTAAAAATAGTCAGAACATATTATTTACAATATTAATAAAACTATGAATTCAATTTTAACTGATTGACAAGGCAAAACACTGCACAGCGGCAGCAGCATTAAAGGAAAAATATCGTCTTACCTTGTGTTGGGGCTTCACAAAACTCCAAATGTAGCTTTCCTCTCTGGGGTGGCACTAATGAAGACCCTCATTAGAGCAGATACATCCACATTGTCCAAAATGTTACTATGGACATGCATTAAAGTCAGATGTGTCAGTCTCTTCTGTGTCATATTACTCTAGTTGTAGAGGTGGTGGGCTGAGGAGTAGCTGGTGGTCCACTCTTTTTATTGGGTTGTTTGTTGGAGAAAAAAATCCAAAATCCTTTTTTGCGCCATTCTAGAAAGTTGTCACTCTGCAGTGTGTGTGTCGCGTCAATTACGTCACTCTCCCACGACCTATGACCTAGATGACTCGGATTTTATATATTTGGAAAATAAATTCAAGCCACCTGATATATACACACATATATACTATGACTATGATATGCTACTGTATACAGCTAATTTTATTTTAAGTAAAATCATAACTATTTATGTAGTTTAATCATTTTTATTTAGGTGGTCACTCAGTTTTTCAAATGTACACCACTCGCCAACAGCGGGTGCTGCAGCACCCCCAGCACCCCTACTTCCCGCGGCTATGGTGACGCTTGGAGCTGTGGTACATTAAGGACCAGGTGACGCTCACCTGTCTTTGATCCTGAAGAACACACTCCTGACCTCTGGCTGTGTGTACTTGCAGGAGAAGTCGATCTGGATCTGGTCGCTGCGGGTGATGACTCCGCCTGATGAGCTGTTCGAGGACATGATGGAGTTCTCGTAGACGATCTGGCTGTTGTTTCTCTGCAATGTGACAGAAAATGAGTTCATTTAACGGCCACATTATTCCAGTGCTCACTGCTGACGGTTCCATCCTGACAGAGAACGGTCAGTGTTGGAGTTCACAGTCCAAACCATCCAGGTCATAAATCACATGGTCTCTAATCAATAAAGGGAACTAGAGAATATGCTCTCCCGGTATTTAATTAAAGTTAAACAGGGTGACTGAAGCCTGTTCCTTCCCTTCCATCGATCATTAAGCTCTTCTGAGGGCTGCAGGTGTCAATAACCAACTGAACAGGACTCAGTTAAAGCAGCTTTACGTGCTTCTCGTTTGCCCAAAGACGCTCTGAAAATAACCCGCCTTGAGTCTAGAGGAAGTGATAACCACGCACCATGACCTCCGTCCCGCAGGGGGTGCTGCTGTTGAAGCTGAAGGTCACCAGGTGGCTCTGGGGGTCAATGTGGCCCTTGCAGCTGGGGTCTTTGAGGTGTAAGGTGGAGAAGTCGATGCCTTTGTCGTCCAGCAGACATCCAGCCAGAACCGCAGAGGCCGAGTCCTGCCTGCAGACCGTGGGATCGCCTGCAACACACCGACACTTCAACGACACACCGACACTTCAACCGCACACCGACACTTCAACCGCACACCGACACTTCAATCACACACCGACACTTCAACCGCACACTGACACTTCAACGGCACACCGACATTTCAACGGCACACCGACACTTCGACCGCACACCGACACTTCAACCACACACCGACACTTCGACCACACACCGACACTTCAACCACACACCGACACTTCAACCACACACCGACACTTCAACCACACACCGACACTTCAACGACACACCGACACTTCAACGACACACCGACACTTCAACCGCACACCGACACTTCAACAACACACCGACACTTCAACGACACACCGACACTTCAACCACACACCGACACTTCAACCGCACACCGACACTTCAACGTGGACTATGACGGGCAGTGGAGTTACTGACAGAATGTATTTGACACTATAATGAAAGCTGTTTCTAATTCCACACTAAACAATATATTTTTTCTGGCAGAGCTCAGCATCAAAGCAGCTGTTAGCAGCAGGCTGTTGGTAAATAACCACATCCCTAATTCAGACCAGTGCAAGCAGAGGAAACGGTGTGATATGCTCCGTACCTAAAGACTTGGTGGCGTTGTACTTGGAGGCGAACAAAGCCCTGCAGAAGCAGCGGGTCGAACCTAACTCCTCTCCACAGAACTCATGATCACTGCAGGGCTGCTGACAGAGAGGGGGGGGGGCTGCACACACACACACACACACACACATACACACACACACACACACACACACACACACACACACACACACACACACACACACACACACACACATACACACACAACTTAATTCATGTATCTGCTTCTTTACTTTGTTTCCCATTTATTAGGGAGCCTTGGCTTCTGGTTGATTTTAGGATACATTTGATCAAATATGTGTGCTTGACTGCACGAGTTCCAGTGCAGTATCCACGAATGGAAATAGAGAATCTTACAGCAGCCAGTAGTTGACCTCCAGTCCTCCAGGGTGACTTTGGTTTTCAGGCTGCAGGCCTTGGCGTAAGCCTCCAAAAAGTGGCAGTCGACCCCATCCACTGACGGGTATCTGCACAGAGTGTGTGTGCAGGCGCTGATGTACGGCTCTGGGTCGGTGTGCTCGTGACAGGCGGAGAAGGGAGGCTGCCTCATGAGATTACAGCTGTTCAGAGGGAAGAGTTTTCCGTGTTACATTGGTTGATCTTGCAGAAACAACGCTGCTTATATGGCATGACAAGACGAGGGTGTTCATGGCTCAGCTCTTACTGGTCGGTGGAGCGAGTGCAGTTGATGGTGCTGTCGACTGAGTCCTGGGATTGAATCTCACAGCTAGAGGGAGACAAAGATCACATCACATCTGAACCCTAATCATGACAAATAGGTAATATCAGTCAGACTGAGCGTTACCCAGGGAGGCTGAAAGAGGACTTCTCGGCAGTCGGGGTGGTGGTCCAGCTGGAGTTGGAGGGGCTGCCACACAAACCCTCTACAGTTCCAGGATGTCCTTGAGGATGTGAGGGTACAATTAAAGCTATGCTTCAGAAATAAATATGTAATATTCAGTCCAGATTGGAAGTACTGTTCTGTACCTGCCACATGTGCGCTGTTGCCATCGAAAAAGAGAGTCATTTTGGAGGACGGGAACTTAGCAGTGACTCCAGTCTGGTCCTTGGAGAGCTCCACGCCGTGCATCAGCTGAGCTGTGCTGTTGAGCACCAGGGCTTCATCATCAACCTACACACACACACACACACACACACACACACACACAGAGGGTTTGTGATACACCACCACAAAGTAACTCCTAGCAGGAAATGATCAGCATTGCTTGAGCACCCATAACTACAACGTGCTACCGTACCCGAACTCTTCCTCCTTGCTCCAGATACATGGTCACACCTGGCAGCGACAGGATCAGGTGGTCCAGAAGAGGAACATCTGTACGCCGGCGCTCCCTGAAGGCGGCCGTGAGGTTGAAGCTGGCGCTGCCTTCAGGCTCCATCAGACTGTAGGCACAGCGATCCTGGACAGAGTGCACTGCTCCGTGGAAACCAATCACCGTGGAGCCTGTCACCGTGCACACCACCGGAGCAGCGCACCTGATGGACATTCAATTCAACATTCAATTCAAAGGTTTTATTGTCATATGCACAAAGCTATTCACCGCTGTGCATCCATCTGGATCTCTTTTCAGAAAGTGTCCATCACGAGGCCCACCATGGCAAAGAAGTGCAATGGGAAATAAGTGGAGAAGGTTTTTTAGGATTTATAGACTGAACCGTTCCCCAGCTGATCAGAAACAATAATGGATGGACTTGAAAGCCCTTTCCACTGAAATGAGAGCCGTGTTAGTTGGGACGGTTGGTTCTCAATGTTGGACCAGTTACCTGTTCATCCGACAGCACTGTTTACGTCCCTGCATTTTCCAGCAAAGCCAGCTCAGGCAAAAACTACAGCAATGGCGGCTGCATTGGAGCTGTGCTCTCGTTGCTCTTCTTCAGATCCAGGTTGAACTGTTCCCACTAGGATTCAGAGGCATTCCCCGTTGCTTTAGTGACAGTCAGTAATTCACTGCTGACTGTCTCTAAAGCAACAGATGCAGATTTCCCCAGTGATTCATATTTTGTTCAGTTTTAATGTGCAATGTTTGACGTTACCTGCAAACGTTTCCCTGTATCATATGGATGATGTTAGCATAGCCAGTCTGATGAAGCAACAACCAGATTAAGAGCCATCAAACTAAATTAAACGTATTTAAAATAATAACACATGCTGAACATTAGATGGTTACGGCGTTTTAATTATTCTCCATAAATGCACATGTTGCAATCATTGTGTCATTTGTCGTTTCTACCGGCGTTCTTTCAATAGGATTTCACTTGTGATCTGATATGACAACTTGTGTAGCCTACGGTATGAAGTGATCACACCTGAAAGCTGGTTTAAAAACAACAGGAGAACGGGTCGTGCTGCTCCTCAAAGCGGGCCATGAGAGCGAGCGTATCTCTACGTTTGCCCGGGGAAAGTGGCGGGACATAAACAAAAGTGTGAGTCTCGTTTTGGTCACTTTGCTCGGCTCTAGTGATCTGACCCAGCCTCCACACAGATCTGGTTCTTGGTTCCAGTCCAGCAGAGCTCTGGTTCCTAACACGAACCAGTTTTGCTCATGGAAACCATGAAAGGACTGGAGAGCTATCGGGCACTAGCTCTGAACTGACCCTGTAACTGCTTTGGTGGAAAGGGGTGATAGAAATAGGAACAGATTCATCAATAACTGCAATAATCCTCAGGTGGATAATATCCTCACTCTCTCATGGAGGGTTCGATCACATGGGACACTTTATTCAAATCAGTCAGACCTTTATTCCTGATAGAAAGAGCACATATTTACGTGTTGTCCGCTTGGCAAACCTCCTCGGGCCCACATGCTGTCACATTAGCGAGGACTGCAGACAGAGAACACAGTTCAACAGAGCAGGGCTCTGCGCTGGGCCCTAAGTTGGGCCTCTCTGAACCCGGCATTACAGCGCCACCTTGGAGGAGAATGGAGGTAATGATATTACACTTCAGTGACTACAGGCAGATTTTAAGACAGACATGTTTTAATATCACATTTCACTTAGAGGATCCCTTTCTTTGGGAACCCCCAGACCAGCTTACCTGAGACTCTGCATCCACTCAGGTCTCGATAGGTAGCTACACCTGCACGAGGCTTCCAGGTATCCATCACTGTGCCACCGACTTTTGTAGACATTTCCTAGTAAAGGATTAAACAGAATATATTTGTATGTATATTATTTATTTAACAGGGACATTGCACACTAAGAACCATTTCTGTAAATGTGCCAGAGTTAGCCAAGAGGCTCTTTTACACCTGTAGTCCCTGGACAGATGTTTGAACCTTAAAAACACATTTCAAATAACTAGTAAACACAATCATTAAAAACAAAGGTAACCTCAATACTGTAAACATGAATGAAAGTGTTCTAGATGCCACTTGTGATATATTTCCTCCGATGTTAGGACATGAAGTGACAGTGAGAGCAGTGGGGAGCTCCTTCATTATTCCAGATTGATATTTCTAATTAACTCCTTTGTCCACTTGAGGGCAGGAATGAGCAGAACCACCTGGTGCTGTGAGTCCAGCCTGCCCCGTTAGCTCTGCATGCTAGCAGCTACATGTGGTGTCACTGATAATAACTCTCTTTGTCTTCATGCTAACACATGATGCTGAGTGACTTCTGCTTCCTGAAACTCTAAGGCTGAGTATGACATTATTTCTGACACCTATCGGTGAGCTGGATGCAATCCTACCTGGAGGGGAGAGAACAGATGGTGGAGGTAAACGGTACTCTGTCGCCCCCCCCCCCCTCCCAGTGAGCTGTGGTGTTCCACAAGGAAGCATATTAGGTCCGTTACTGTTCCTAATTTATGTAAATGACATGTCATCAGCATGTGACTGCAACTTGTTCCTGTTCGCGGACGACTCAGCCCTGCTGGTCTCTGACAGGAACAGGTTGCAGGTTGAAAAAACCCTCATCTCCGAGCTCGGCAGAATCTGCACCTGGCTCGCCGATAATAAATTATCATTACACCTGGGTAAAACAGAGTCCATTCTCTTCGGTTCGAAACATAATCTCAGCAAATCCGACAACTTCTCAGTTGCAGTGGGCGACATTATTGTCACAAGTAAGAAGGAAATTACATACCTAGGATCTATTCTTGAGGCAAACCTCTCCTGTGACAAAATGGCATCCAATGTAATAAAAAAAGTCAATCAAAGAACTATATTCCTATACCGGATCTCCTCTCTGGTAAACAAAAACTCCCTGAAAACTCTGGCAGGAGCACTCATTCAAGGGTACTATGACTATGCTTGCACGTCATGGTACCATAGCACCTCCAAGGCGCTAAAAATAAAACTTCAAACATCGCAAAATAAACTGGTCAGACTACTGCTTGACCTTTCATCTAGAACCCACCTCACCTCTGCCCACTTTGACAACCTAGGATGGCTTAGAGTAGACGACAGAGTACAGCTACTTGCAATGGGCCTGGTCTACAAGATCCACTACACCTCTATGGTACCCATGTACATGTCAAAATTCTTCCCAAAGGTCAAGGAATACCATGATCATAACACCAGAGGGAGCTCCACAAATCACGTGAAACCCAGATTTGGCACAAAAAAGGGGGAATACACGTTTCGCAATTATGCCACATCAAGGTGGAACGCTCTTCCCACAACTGTAAAGGAAAGTAAAACTATACTTACCTTCCAAACCTCTCTTAAAGAGCACCTTCGGGGGAGAGCATTGCAAAACTGGCCCCGGTAATGGTACACATCTCAACCTGTCGTTCAATGGACAGCTTCCCCCCCCCCCCATCTATGTATATACTCGCATTTTAGACTCTGTTACTAACTGTATATCTGTAGACTTGGTATGTCTTAAATGTCCGGTTAGGATGTATTAGAACCAAATCTAAAATGAAAATTGTAAACAAGCAATCTGTATGTAAAAAACCACCTGTATGTAAATTGTAAATAAGCCATCTGTATGTCAAATATGTCTTATATGTCTTAAATGACATGATGAATTGGAAATGGGGGACCCTGATGTAAACAAGATGAAAGTCTTTCTCTGGTCTGCATCCACTTAACAATTGTATGTTTTGAGCTGTACTGTACTGTACCCAATATACAAGCTGTTAATAAACTTTTCAATCAATCAATCAATCAATGTTTAGAAGTGAACATAAGAAGAGAGTTTTAAAAGGAGAGGCTTAGAGGAGCAAACAGACTGCACGTTGTCTTCTCCATTCACCTATCCATGCTGAACTGAAAGCTTGTTCTGTATTCATATGAATGATGTCTGATGGTGAGACAAAGGAATAATGGATCACACACAGCCTCAGTTATCATCTCTCAGGGTGGTTAGGGTACAGAAGTCTTCTCAGGGATCAGTTCTCATTCAGAGTGCGTGTGAGGAAGGCTGGAAGACAGCAGCTTTCTAACATAAAGGATTTAGGATATGAGTTTCCCTGGCACACAGAAACAAACAGGAACACATTGCATTGGTATCGGGACCTGACAAAGTGTAACTCTCAACATCGGTGAGGCTGAAGGGTTAGGGTTAGGTAAGAGCCTCATGTCATACTTACTAAACTAGCAGAAAACGGACGGCCAGCAGCATGACGTGTAAAGAAAGCAGCTTGTAAACCATAATTGAAGAAAGTGAGATACCCCTGAAAGCAGGAACAGAGAGAGAAATATTAGGAAATGCTTCGAACATTTTACAAATAAAATTTGATTTGAAGTTATCTTTGCCACACAATGTCTTTGAAATGTTCATTTTGCACAAACAGCTGGACAGCCAGTCGGTGTGTAACATGGATCGGATCAGGACTCACATCACTTGTACCACCACTAGTGAACGTGAAGAACAGGGTACCCAGTGAATTGGCTTTGATGTTAACAAGAGAAGGGGTAGCAGGAAATGATCTTCTTCTTATATTGTAGACCACTTTGTCTGAAGCCACCCCGTCGCTGGTCACCACACAGTCAATGTCGTCGTCAGATGGGTCATTTTTGAAGCAAAATTCAACCTTATTGCCCATCTTCACCTGCAAAAACAAAAACAGGAACTACAATATGAAGGCTTTCGCTCTAAAACAGCATCGTTTCATCTCCTCAAACAACACATTCTCACTCCCGGCTCGGCCTATGTTGACGTTATGTCAGGGTCCCTGTCGTCACTTTCCAACGCAAGCGGGGGTCCTTTAGCGTTGAGTTTCAACTATCAGGGAGTCCCATTGACTTGCATAGAGCTCCCTGAACGTTGGTAATAGACGAGTTGGGATCGCGGCGAAATGCTCTCCGCAGATCCATTCTCACAGCGTTTATCAACCTTTTTCTAACTCAATATCAAGCCACACTTAATGTTTTTACTTCTTTATTTTAATTGAATAATGTAGGACTTTTGTTGCCGTCAGTTATGGGGAGAGTAGGGGCTCAGAATACTGAAATCTTTATTGTTTCATCGTTTTTTCCTTTTTTTGTATTCTTTTTTAAACCACACTGTTATTTACCCAACAATAACACATAATTAGGGTCTGAGACCAGAGGTCGGCGAAGGCGCAGCGACCGATAAACCTGAGAAACACACCCAAAAACAGGGAAAACGACCGGCAAAAGCACAGAAAAGGTTCGGAAATCATGACGGCTGATAGGCCGCGCGAGCCCAGTCACGTGGGCGCTGCAACTCGCATAATTGATATCGTTACGATCAATTTAGTCGTTGCCATGGCGACAGATCCCTCGCCATGAAACATGGTGTTGTCGTAATTCAATGGAAAATCGTCCAAACGGCACCAGACTTCAGACTATCATTTATGGTCCAGCCCTCAACAGCTCTATGTCAATTATGGGATGTCTGTGTCATATATGTGTCAGTTTTGAGATTTCTTCAAATGTCGTTGCTATGGTAACAAAATGGTCACCGTGAAACACGGTTTTCTCATAACTCCAGTTAACATGCTCCAAATGGCACAAAACTTCACAGGTTTGATAAAGATGCAGCCCTCAACACATCTAAGCATATTATGAGGTGTCATCAAATTCCGTTGCCATGGCGACATATCCCTGGCCATCAAACACAATGTTTGTGTTACTGCTGTAACTCAAAGACATTGTCCGATGGGCTTGAAACTTTCCACGTTTGCCAACGGCCGAGTCCTCGAGACACCTAGACACACGTCGACGTGCGGACAACAGCCTGCGGAGCGTCGAAGACCCGCTCAACGCTGCTTGCAGCTTTAATTATCCTTGTGTTTATTTATTTGTTTGATTAATAAACACAAGTTGGAGTCCGTTAGGACCGAGGGTCGAAGCAGCTCATAGTAGTTGCTTTTTAGAGAATTTTACACCCGGAAGTAAGTATTCTCTCCGCTTTGCTCAAACCCCGTGATTAGTCCTCAAGCTCTGTGATTGGATGTTTGAGTGTGCGCCGAGGGTTACGCCGAGCGTCAAACAGCACTTTGGGATGGAACCACGGCAGACTGTCCAAAACTGGATTCGGATGGGTCCACCACCCCCTTCCCCACCCCGTCCCTAGAACTACACATGCTGGCTATTGTGTGTTTCGCAACATGTTCTATGGCACGTCTCTACTGGGAATTGTAGTTTTAAAAGACGTTTTCGTATTTCCCATTATAAGAAGTTGGGGCAGCATTAATATATATACCCACATGCCAGCTAGGGTCAGAAGAGCTTTATTTAACAGCTGGTCTTATGTCTGTGACCCCTCCTATTGTTAATTGATAAGCCTGAAACATGCACTTGTCAAGGTTCAGACGCACATTTTGCAAATATGGCAGTAGCCATCGATCATCTTAAGATAAGATATACTTTATTGATCCCAAGTTGGAAACATTTGCATTACATCAGCATGTGTAACAGTTGTAAATATGCAGTGGTATTTATTTGTAAATCATTTAGTATAATCACAAAAATTCTCTGTTTTATATTTAATAATTCTGTGATCTTTATTTATTGAATGCTCAATACTTGACAAGGTCAGAGATGAAAAACTTGACGCAGGTTCCTCAACAGCACATTACAAGACATCTATCAATATGTGTGTGTACCTCCACCATTAAACTGTCGTATTCTGCACATTTCTTATTCTATCTACATACACCTTATAAGAGTATAATACATATGTATAA